TTGGAAATACAATAAATTAAAAATTTGTATGTGTACAAATATTTGTTATCCCTACTACTTTTCCCGAGTGGTTAGAATGTTCGCATTCTGGCCATGAGACCCGGGTTCAAATATTACCTTGGTCGATTTGTTAGGAAGATGACTTCCTGATGTGATCGGACTGGAGGGGTCGATCCCAGCGTGCGGCACATTTGTAAAGTGACTGAAAACCATACCACGGGTTGACCCAAGTCTTGTGAGTGAAATTGGGTAGACGGAACCCTTAGGCCCGTCAATAGTTTGCTAGCACGAAGTCACAAGTCATAGTGGCCGAGGGCTTGAGCGTGCTGGCCTTGTTCGAATTATTGATCACGCTAGATAACACACTCTTTTCCAGAAACCATAACTAAGGCTTGCTCAGTATAGTTGCAGTATAAATCAAGGGTGGGCTTTGTGGGTGCTGAATAAACACAAATGCGCCTGAGGAAGTGTTTGCAAGAGGGATTGGCTAGCCACCGTAGTAGATGGGTATCCTTGAATACGAGTGGCCAGCTATACATATATATATATAATTATATATATATATATATATATAATATTAGTGGTAAATATACACATACATATGCAAAATATATAAATATATACATACATACACATACATATATATTTTGTATAAAAAAAAAATTCCAAGAGGATAGAATCCAGGTAGAACTCAATGTCCAGGACAGAGTAAGGATATAATAAAAAGGCTTAAACACTAATATTCCATAGTTAATATTAGTTTTTAAGCCTTTTAATATATATATATATATATATATATATATATATATATATATATATATATATATATATAACCAGTTTTATCACTTTCAAATCTACGCCTCTCTCATGACATTTAATATTTAAGAAACCATAGATGATTCCCATATATTATCTCCTTAATTGTTTGTTAACTCACAGACAGGCATACGAAAAAGACGTAGTTTATATATCATTTATCACTGTCATTTTTTTAAAAAAAATGCATGCACATAAGTTTTCTTTGTTGAGTGCATCACATCAAAAGCAATGGGATGCACCTTAAAACTTTGTTTTGGAAACAAACTTGTTGAATTGTAGCTCTTACTCAATTTGCCCTTGAATTGTCTATAGGTTATTACATTTATTTAGGATGACAATGAAGTATCAACTCAGTAGATTGTTCTTTATCTGGTTGAAGGAAAACTGAAGTATTCTTAACGGCGGGCAGTTTCCTGCAACTGTTATATGCTATCTGAAGAGCTTATCTGAAAGAATACCTCAGTGACAGGTTCGCTTGTTGAACCTGGGGCTTTGTATCGAGAGATAGTCTGTAAACCTGTTGTAAAAAGTCTCACGCACCGTTGCATAGTGGTCGTCAGTGGCGTAGCTTTTTCATTGCCAGCACCCGGGACAATGCTAGTATTACGCCCCTATCCCTTTAGTACTGTCGTATTGAAATCTCCACCTGTAAAGTTTATAGCATTTTAAGAAAATATTGATCTAATTAAAATAAGATGTCTTTAATGCTAGTATACGCAAATTTATTTAGAATCGTCTGGTTTTCATTTGTGTAAATGCTTCAATAACAGTATTGAAATATCTCCCAACTGCCATTATTGCTACGTCTTTCTTGGATCGCTGTTGATCCCTGGTAAATTTTGATTAATTTAAGATTTTAGAAAATTCTTTCACAACAAGCAGGTGATAGAATAATAGTTAAAAGATTAAAAACAAAGTTCGTCAAACCCTTTTACAGTTTCCACTTGTACACCAACCAAAGCATGAAAATGCAATTGTTTCATTAACAGATTGACAAAGTTCAAATTTCGTCTATATATCGCCGGCTCGGTCCATTCTTTGATTCAACCCTCGAGTCGATTTTACAGTTTTAATATGTAAAATTCATGCATAGCGAAGATCCTTAAAAGCGGGTTAACTGGATAACAATGAACAGCAAATACAGAAAATCAACTATCCAGGAGGTATTATAAAAGATACCGGAAAATGTAGCACAAAAATCAGAAGGTGCAATCAAATAGCAAAAGATATTCTCCAAAAGCTAAACAAACTATTGGGTTGAGACAAAAGTTCGTAGCGCTTTTCAATGTATTTAACCCGCAATATTGTTTCGCACGTGACTGAAAGTTATCATATATATACATATTTTGGAAGGTAACATTTCAATGCGTCTTCCTATACGATTTGTGCGTATTGTGAATTTTAAATGTTTTTACGTTAAAAGTGAAAATGAGAAAAAATAAGATGATCTTTAATTTCTGCATTTTCATCTGCGTTAATCTGCTTAAACGCAACAAAACGACCCACTTTTTCAAAAGAACGATCACAGACGATATCCAATGGGCTGCTTACAACAATGTGGGATGGAAAATATCCTGGGTAAAAACGATATGGTCGACTGTTAAACACTCTGCCAGTCTGCTTCCGAAGAAGATGATGATATGTATCTGATGGCATTGGAAGAGCCTTGTGTATCATGAGTTTCTTCAGCAACATAAGACATTGAATACAGGCATTTACTGTTATCAGTTACACTGGTTTGATGTAACAAAACAAAAAAAAAAACAAACAAAAAAAAAAAAACTCACAAATGACTCAGATACACGATATGTCCATATATCCTCAGACTCTTTTCCCTACAGAACAGCCTCATGGCATTCTAAATCTCAGATTTTGTTATGGGCCTCTCACATTTAGCAACTTCAGACGCCTCCAGGCGAGGAAAACTGGTTAAATAGTAGTCGAACTGAATGTTCACTGCTGGCGTTTTAGTGAAACCTCCAGGAATTTGCGCGTATATTTTTGCTTGTAGTCATTTGGCATCCGTCCGGCGATGTGATGTTGGCTATATTTTGATATACCGCACAAGTTTTACTCGTAATTCAGTGGCCATATTAATCCCAAAGAAAGAACTATTCTTTTTGACCAAGCCCTAACTACCATAGTTTGATCCTTTTGATAAGTAAGGAGGCCAACACCATCCTAGCTGTAGCTAAATTCTCCCGATTTAACAATCTTTCCTACTCTTGAATCGCATGCCATTTGCGCTAATAATCTATGTTGAGCAGTCGACTAAAGTTAACAGCAAATGACCTAATCGAAGATTTCAGATGATATTATTACTTATTTTCAAGCACAGAGCCCATAATTTGGCGTTTCGATCGTAGAAACCCTTCTCATCGAGCAACCATGTGTTGAATTTAAAGACCCGAGTCGTCCTACACTTACGCTTACTTAAGTTTACACGAAGCCGGACAATCCTCTAGTCCATATAATCGCTCTTTGTGTGCATGTATACATACATACATACATACATACATATATATATATATATATATATATATATATATATATTAAACCACACCAAATGTTTTTGTTTAATTTTTAGCATGTGCTAAGTCAAAATTCTATGATTAGTCAAGTAGTTTTCTGAATAAATCTGTCAAGTAACTACAAGGAGTTTCTGAGTTTATCTATAATATTTGTATAAATAACAAGCAGTTTTATTTGTTTTAAGGGGCGAAAGCATCCGTTAATACTAATGGAGTGATTTTCTCTTAGTTTTTCAGATTTTGAAATTGGTTGAATTTTACAATAATGAGCAAAAAATATAGTTTGAAGTATATTTTTTATTTATATTTATGCTATAAAAAACCAGGAAGAACACTCACGACAGTATATTACAAGAAATTGAGAACTAAATGATATATGAATAATATGTTAAATAGGGTGTTTAAAAACAACATGGTTCTAATGATGTGACAATGACTTAATCTAAGGCGTCTTAAAAAAGAGATTATTTGGTGTATAAAGTATTTACATATTTCCATCTGTATTAGTATACGCAATGCGCGAGTAGCATAACTTAGTTTGTTGTGTTCAAGTTTAGTAATACCTTTTGGAAATATATCTATTCTTTCTCTTCCTCTCAAGATATTGGTTAAATAATAGGGTAAAATGGGTTTGTCAGTCTTGAGGGACAGTCTAATAGAAGGAAAATTTTGAATTCGCAACCGTGAAAAAGACAATGGGAAACTACTTCGCTTTCTTACCAAATAAGTCATGAAATTTTGCACATAATAAAGTTGCGGAGAGCCATGATCGCCTACGTTCTGAATGATAATGTCCAAGTCTAATTAAAAGTCTTATCTTCAAAACAAGCCTGTCGTTCCAGCTTGGAGGACTTCAGCAGTAAATTCTTCCTACTTATATAAACGATATTTAACTTTGGAGCTAAGCTTAGTAGACAAAAAAAATTCTCCCCACTAATTTATTTCTTCCATTAAAAAGAAACAACTGGTATACATGACTTGCCTTTGACTGAACAATGGTCACTAAATAACGGAGAACAGTACTTATTAAATTAATTTATTTTTCTATTGCACTAACTTATTCAAAATACATATACACAATCATATGCAGGAAAACGCCCAAAAAGCACTCACTACATAAGACAGTAAAAGATATTGTCATCGATGGAGACACACACACACACACATACATACACACACACACACACACACATACACACACACATTCATACTTTAAACGCCATTTAAAATAGCCCATATTCTAAGATCAATGCAGGTGTACCGAGCGACAGGAAAAATGTTTAGATGAAATTTTCTCTGAATATTTCTGTATGCCTTTAACGTAACTGAAAAAAAAAATATCCCAGATGAATTTTGTTAAATCTTACAAATGAAATATTCTATTCAGAATCGCCTATCATCATTTTGGAATCCGAGCTGAAAGACAGACAATATTCAACAATTTCTTTTAGATTCAAATTTTCAGAAAGTATTTATTTTAAAATATTTTCATTAATTTTATACACTCTGTATTGTTAAAATATCTTAATCAAAAACCCTGCAAATAATCTCAATCGATTAAAGACAATGCTAAAAGCTATTATTATATTAAAGTCTACAATGAAAATATTAAGATAATTACTAAGATATCTTTATGTTTCTTTATTCTAGTTGTGATCCGTCAGTAAACTGCTTAAAAATGTCAGAAGGGACTGGAGAGCCACCAGATGAATTCTTGCATTCAGATACGAATTATAAGCAAAAATGGCGAGAAGAAACGAAAGCGAGGCTCTTACAACGAGCCAAAATACGGAAAGAGGTACTGAATGTGTAATGAATTCTTAAGGCCTTTTTTTAATTCTTATATGAATTAAATTTTTGAATCTTATAGCAAAAAGTAAAATATATCTTATTCAATTTGGTGTTTCGACTATCGTCATAGCCCTTAAATTTCTTTTTCAGAACTTTTTTGGTAAATTCATTTTAGGCCATTTTCATACATATTTTTTTCTTTATCCATTATTGAGATTTTTAGTTTATATTTTATTTTCTAACAGAAATTGATACTGTATCAAAAAACGAAATAGCACATGTTCTACAGTTTTTCTGATTTTTTTTCTAATGTTTACTAAATTTTCTCTTTTCTTCGTCATATCCTGTGGTATGCTTTGAGGAATGAATCTGTAGTTTTTGTGCAAGAAACATGATTTAAGAATAGTTAAATAGCCCATTTTCAAATCTCTCTATGAAATGCAGCTAGCGAACCAACATAATGGCAAAAAATCCAATTAAATAAGGACAGTAACTGAACTAGTTAAAACTTAAATAATTGAATATCCGGATATTAAAAATATTGGATATTTACAATAACTTATTTTAATGTTCGTGGGAAATAATATACTAGCATACCAGAAGTCATCGAATATTTGTTTAGTATAGTGCAAGACTCTCATTAGCTTAGCAAAGTACAGTAACGACGTGGCATAGATTCACATCCCATAAAATGTTCATTGGCGCTCATGTGGGACAAACGTGATGGCCATACCGTTCATTGAAAGTCTCTAGAATAGTCTTTAAACCAATTCTGGGCAACTTATGCCTGATGACACTGTGCATTATCCATCCCGGTCATTGTTAGTGTACATAGAGTCTGTGAATGGAGATAAATGTTTACGAAGCAGTACAACCTAACTGCCATCGGACAATGACGTGTTCAGGCAGATCCATCTCGTACTATATGAACACACCCTATACCGTTATGGAACCACCATTAATCTACAATGCTCTGTTGACAACTGGGGTTCATGGTGTTATGAGGTCTTTGCTTCACTTGAACACTCTCATCAGCCTGAAGCAACTTGAACTGGTGCTCATTACATTGCTAGTCGCCTAATCAAAAACGTTGTAAGACACCGTGTCTAGCTTCTTAGATAGGTTTTCTGTGACTATATCTCATGGAAGATAAAGAACGTTGAACTGAATCGCTTAATATGTGTCAGGTTCAATTTCTGAAATGGAATTTCCCTTCAACTCTCATTGCCCCTGTTTGAACTCGGGCAATTCACGCTGCTTTGTCATGACAGCCTATATTTTCACTCTTATTAGGTAAGGTGGCGCCACCTTTAACTTTTTGTTTATTTACTGTTGTCTCATAAATTGTGGCACATAAGCGTATATAATTTTTGATTAGGTAAAGTGTTTTATTGAAATAATAATGCTGAGAATAATGATGATGATGAAAAATAATTATGTCTAATCTCAGTGAAATTTATGTGCAAATTTTACTAGTTGAAAGAATTAATCATTTATTCGTCAGTAATACATTTTTGTACTGAAGTCAGTATCGTCAAATTGCGAGTTAATTCACTTTATATTTTATGTGTACTTAATTTATTTTAGAATGTGAGTTCCATCCTCATTGGGTGCCCCATACTTTCAGCCACGTGCCACATCAAAGCTTAATGTATTTTACGATGTGCGTGTAGTGTAATCAATATCAGCGCTGAAAGTGGAATCGGTGACCCGGGTTTGAATTATGTGTTGCGTTCACTTTCACACAAATACCCTTGAGAAATGCAAGATTCCGATTCTATCCCTTTCAGTTTAGAATTAAATAGCAGCACACCCTAGGCTATTTCGTCTTGTGTGGGGTTTAGTCTAAGAGAAGGAAAACTTTGAATTACAAACAGTGAAGGAAACAGAAAACCATTTCATTTTCTTACCCAAAAATTATGGAAAAATGGGATAATAAAGAAAAATATGAGAAGAGTCGTGATAACTTAAGTTCTGAAAAAGATGTATTTTAATTAAATATTATCGATTAGTTTCTTTAAGAAATGTATCTTAACAAGTCATGTAGAAATACCAATGTATAATCTTTAAGATTTTATAATTAAACATAGTGTTTGATACTTAAATAATATTTAGAAAAATAGATAACGTCTTGTTGCACTCAAAGAATGTATAGATTTTACACGCAAAGATTTTTTTTATCAATTTTCAATAACTTCAGAGAACACAAGTGAAACTAATTCCTTATTTTTACTTGCTGTTTTTCTGTGATAACTTCTCTTAAGCTTTCTCAAATTGTGACTAAAAATAATATATTTTATAACTATCCAATACCTTTTGGTAAATGTATTTGTTTTGTTATCGCAACGTAAAACAAAGCGGCGCACTTCCCGAAAAAAAAAAAAAAAAGCTTAAACTTAAAATTTAATTTAAAAATTTAAAATTAAAAAGAAAAAAAATACAAGACATGAACTGTTGTGTGAACAAACGAAACGCAATATTTAAAAATGAAATCGACTACTTAAAAAAAAAAAAAAAAAAATTTGATAATGGCTAACGATAGCGGAAGGTATTCAGATATTGAACAATGTATTTTTATATATGAACCGGAAAGCAAGAAAATTATCCGGGACATCAAAAAAAAAAAAAAAAAAAAAAAAAAATTAACAAGAAACTTAATTAACTGTTGAGGTAAAAATAACAGTGTTATTCAATTACATTAAACAATATCCAAAGCTAAAATTTGAAAAAGAATATATTTGCGAAACTAGTATTAGGCGGAAAAATTTTAATATATTTTTAAAGATATTATTTTAAAGTTTGAAAGTGAAAAAGTTCAACATTTCAGTAAATAAGGGAAGAAACACACACAATAAATATTTTTACAAGGAAATTATTAAGATTATCTTTTAAACTTCAGCCAAGAGTGTTCTTCGTGATATTATAACATCTCATTTAAATATAATTTTCCTTTATTAATTGCATGAATTACTCTTCTATTTTGAAAAAATGTTAACTAGTAAACATTTCTATAGAATATAGAATTAGTTTTTGAAGGAATATAGAAGCATTACACCATTTTCGAAAAACAAATGTTTAATAACTCTTAATTTAACTTTTCTTTTTCAGCAATCTTTCCCGGAATTAGCACAGAAATTGAAATTGACTATCAAACGAGAAAACATTATATGTCAGAAAGCTGTAGATTTTTTAAAGAACGTGCGAGAATCAAGATACGGGCTTCTCGAAGAATCCTTTTCAACTGATAACCATCGCTTGACTTCAAGCACACGTGTAGATTATCCATTGCCGAATGCTAACTCTCATGTTGTTCCCGGTAGCAAGCCTTACAATCCCAGTTTTGTTGTTGAAGTTTGCGATAAAACAGTCCAACCCCCAAAATTCCTTTATGAACAGGATACATTGGATCACTCGAAAACTAGTAAAATATATGTTTTAAGAGATTTTGAGGATACAATAGACAAAGTAGATGATAAAATCAGGAAAATATCTTTACTTAGTCAAACAGAACAGGACATTAACACTCCTACTGAAACGCGGATGCAAAATGATGACACACATACAGTGACACAATTCTCTCCTGAAACATTCACAACGTACGACGGATGCATTAATAAATTCCGTGAAGAAGATTTACAAAATTTAAACGACCTTTCCGTGAAAACTGATGAGATATCTATTTTAAGTGACTCTGCAGATACAGTAGACAAAGTACATGATAAAATCCGGAAAATGTCATTACTTAGCGATACAAAACAGGGCATTACTAACAGTCCTATTGAAAAGCAGTCCTCCCCCGAAACATTCACAACGTCCGATGGGTGTATTAATAAATCATTTGAAAGTGATTTAGAAAATTTAAGTGATGTTTCAGTGACATGTTCTTTCAAGACTGACGTTGGCCTTAATCATTTTATGAACAGAAATGCTGTAGCAAGAGAAAAAAAACACAAAAACACATCAAAATTTGAAAAACTCATGTTTAAATCACCTAAGAACAATAGAATTGCAAGGATTTACTTAAACAAATTGCCAGTTATATCTCAACTAGATAATTCAACGATTCCTAAATCAAGGAAAATAAATAAAAATGCACAATCTAATTTTAAACTTAAATTAACTGTATATGGATAAATATTAAACAGAAACTCAGAGAATCAAATGGACTACAAATAAATGATTTAAGGAAAGTGGAAACTAAACTTGAATAGAGGAGACGAAAAAGTGACAGTAAAATCGAAAGTGATAAAATCAATATTATTTCTTCGAAAAGTAAAACAAATTACAGCCGAATACCTTCAGAGAAACTTACAAATTTGGAGTTCAGATAACGTCAGCCTCGTTTCTCACCATTAAATATTCAGGTCGACTATTTGTATTTTGTTGTTATTCTTAAAAGATCATAAAAATTTGAAAGAATCAGAAATGTAATTAAAATACTATGTACTACTTTACCCACCAGATGACAATCAATATTTTCCAAGTTTTATAAGCGAATTTGAGGTAGCTGGTAGACTAATGTTTACCCAGTCACCTTCGACTGCTAGTATTTGTATTTAGCTTAACTGCATAATACTGTAATATTTAATATAAATGAAGATGGTTATAGCCTATTAAATATTGTAACTTGTTTGAAAAGTAATTTTGATTAGACACACCCATAAATAAATAATGAAACCTACGCACAGTGTATATAACTTCTTACAAGATGGAACTTACTAATTTGAAGCCAAATATCACACTATTTTTTTAATAAAAAATCACAGAAGCGAGTCAGCAAAAATGCTTACCTCCTTAAGATCTATTTCTACGTTTGCAAAATCATCATAATGTGAAATTTTATTATAATTCAAGAAATCTAACTTCTTTTGTGCTGAACTACTTTCTCCAGGAGCTAATAACTGATAGTAGTCGATACCTGTGGTGTTCAACCAGTTGCATAGCAAACTCTTCTGTGAATGAATTTTTGGTTTTGATGTTACGATCAATTTGATATAAGGTGACAACATTTGTATTTGCTATCATAATACAGAATTCATTTCTCATCTTTTGTAACCATTCAGAGAAATAATGAGGTTTCATTTTTGCTTAGCAAACTGTTGCAAATGGTTGGACGTTGCATTCGGTTTTTTGGTGAGAGTTTATGACGAACACATATTATGTCTTATTTTTATTCAATTTGAATATTTCTGTCAAGTTTAACAAGATGAATTGTGCGTTTTTGCAAAATTTCTGCTACTTTGTCAATGATCTAATGCAACAAATATCTTCAGGAGATCATGTCCCTAACTGATTTGTCTTTCAAAATGAAGTGTATCATGAAGGTGCCAGTTATGTATTTTTTCAATTGTGCTCAACCCCTTATGAACACATCAGAAACAACCAACATTGATTGTGTTGCATTACTGCATCCATAAAAATTATACAACTTACAATGGTAAACACGGCTCTTATTAATTTTTTATGACATAATTGATAAACAGATTTTAGTATTTATTGGCTTTCTCACAAGAATATATCTGATACAGAGTTATGTTTGTGTTGGGAGAAACAATAAAATTCCCAGTACAGACCCAACCCATGGTATATGCCACAAAAAAACCCTTCGGGGTGAACTATAACCTTTCCATTTTACTACATTAGAAAGATGCTTCCCACATTAATTCCTACAGTCCCCAAAATAGATTATATGTAGAAATCTACAATACCAGTTTTTTTTTTAATGTATCTATGATTAATACTAAATGTTTTAGAGAACTATAATACACGATATTTTACAAACCTCTAATTAATATTGAATTTTTATTCTAATTTTTATGATTGATATCGGATTTAACGATGGAGATTAATGAGTAAAACTAAAATTAAGTGTCTTAAAGCTTAAGTCTCTTTAGCATTTAATCTTGATTTTGCAGTAGATATTTGGTTCAAAATTTGCATATTTATTGCAATAGTTAATCATCAAGTGAAAAATATATTTTCCTTCCTGGTCAGCAGATTTTTGCAAATAGCTGAACGTTGGAATCAAATTTCTGGTGAGATTTCATGTGTTCATACGTATAATACTGAGTTTTGGATTTGTCTCTTATGAGTGTTAATGGCGATGATCAATCAAAAGTTTATATTGTATAGATATTTTCACTACTGATAGAGTTAAAAATTAAAACCAAAATATCTTTGAATGAACAAAATGCTAGGGTGTTCGAAAAACCATTATGTATTTCATCACTATGAATTTTGAATCATGTAACCAAGGTAGAACAAAGTTTGAATGATAGGAAAATAAGTCTAGAATTAGTTTATTAGATTTTATATCTGGCAATAGATCGTTTATATTGCATTTTAGTATGATGTCATGAAGAATTATAATTTTAAAAAGTAACACATTCGCTACTGCTTACTGTATGAATTTAGTATGAAAGGTTAGTAGTGCTATATGTATGAAAGGTTAGTAGTGCTAAAGAGGCATTTAAAACATTTGTGTAGTTTATACGGATGCCACGAAGCTTGTAAATATCAGCTGAAGCTTCAAAAGTACAAAAATGGCAAATGTGACATATCCGACAAGCCTCTATCTGGAAGACAACCCTCTTTGAATGGAGAACTTTTGAAAGTGACAGCTAAATTGAATTCACATCGAAACACCGGAGATTTGGTGTAAAAACTTAATGTGTTAATCGTTAACTTAAGTTGTTAATCGTTAACTGTTAATCGTTAACCTAATGTGTTAATCGTTAACTGTCCAAACAACTTAAGCTAATTGGGAAATCCTGCAAAAAGGGAATTTAGTTTCATCATGAGATTTCGCTTGAGTTGGCTTTGTGTCACAATTGCTGTATTTTCGAGCAATAAATCTCGAGTTTTCGCTTGAGTATGACAGGGTGGTAAGCCTGGTATAATTTTTTTTATTGGATGATAATACCTATTGAATATTTGAAGCAGGAAATAAGTAAGATTAAACATTGATCAAACTTAGAGGAACCACTAACGTGTTAACGAGAATAAGGAAAAAACGGATTAAAAATAATAATCACAAGTCATAAAATGAATTTAGAGAAAGCTCTTGGTGGATTTGAATGTGAAATAAACCAAGTAGAATTCGTTTAAAATTGAGAAAGACTTCCCTAACTTACTTAGCCACCTCAGGAGCACTATGTCAAAAATTTAAGCGTTTTCTGAATTTTTCCATATTCCATAGTTGTTTACCAGTGGTGTTATCATTAAATAATGCCCCTATGAAATGGTCACTTCATTAACAAAATTCAAGTTTATGATTCGATCTGACTGCATGCAAATAAAAAGTGCCATGTGTTAATGCATAAAGAAAATCCTATGGAATATATTGATAAATTATCGATAATATGAAATAAATCCATGTCAGTTTTGAGTAAATTTCTTTATATAAACACGATGGGCGGACCGAGAGAAAGAAAAGTCCGTTCCAGAGTCCACATTCCTCAGTGCAAACCCTCCAAAATACACCTACTTCTATCACATTGACTCTGCTGCCACCAGAGAATACACAGACACAACCCCTAATAGACAAAAATACAGTGCGAATCTTCTTCTCTGTGCTGTGTCCCTTTTAGGACGTGGGTGATCATGGCTATTCACAACTTCCTGTCCTTTATATTTTTTGTGCGAGAATCAAACTGACTTATAACTACGAATTGTTATAAACAAGTCGTCAGAACTATGTAGAAAGATTACCAATCCCTTATTTATCACTAAATTCTATTTTCATTAAATCTGCAGTTAGTTATCTAAAGGATTTGTTGGTTTGATCTGTGGAATTAGTTTTCAGCAGAGACAATACCGTTACTACAGCTCGTTGCGGGAATCATTCCTGAATTATCACTTGTACACATACTATTTGTCAATGGGTGAAATCATCGTCATTTCTAGTTAGTTTCAGCATACTAGTGTCTACACACGATGGTTATGAAAATCACTAACACTGTAAAAGTGACAACGCCAAGAATACTACGAGGTAAGTCTGGGACACTGCCCGGTTTATAAATTAGTTCAACTGGATTTTAATCTTAGGTCTGAAACATATCAAAGCAGCAAGGAAAAAAACAATTTCAGGAAAGAAAAGAATGTACTCCAACAATAGCACACCAGCCACTAATCGATGTTGATCAGCATCGATCAACACTAACCAGAAATAAAAAGTCAAAATTGATTGTCGTGACAGAAGCCATAACAGCTGTTTGATATGAATAAGGTGTCGAACACTTAAAAAATCTACAGGAAGGAAAAACTAAAGACAAGAGAGGAACAAGAGGAAGCAGGGTAGAATTAAGGAATATCAGAAAATAATTTTATTCTATTTCCTTTTTATCCATGTTCTACTGTGTGTCACTTATGGAATTATTTTTTCAGAAATTTCTTTGTTCGTTTATTTTTGTAGTAAGCAGACGTAGTATAGGGGAAAGAAAAAGGAATGATAATATGAAGAGACAATATCAAAAGAGGTGATTAAAAAAGAGACAATTAGTAGAACAAAAAGATACAAGCTAGAACCCTTTCAAAGCCTAATTGTCAGACTGAACGTGTCAGGCTCAAGAATAGCCATTTTCATTAGGAAATCCACTAACTTTCAATTGTAATTGGAAGCGATCCGAAAGAAGGCATGTATCTACGAGTTGTCCGATAAGGAAACGATTGCCTTAGTATATGACCACTCGGAGGACCCAGCTTCAGTAGAGAAAGTGAAATTAACAATGACTTTGGTGAGTCATACATACGTAATTGAGGCAGTTCAAGTCTTGGTTGGAATTGGGCAAGGAATTGGCAAATTCATCTCTGTTTTAGCTGATCGTGATTTGGTCTTGTCGATCGTAGCCTATACCCAACCACTAGATAGAAATTATATTGTTGTTCAGGCCCAGTTATCTGTATATTATATAGATACTTTATATAATCATTTCAAATGGGAGGAAGTGACCAGGAGAAGGCCTGGCATCCTGGAAGGCTAGGAGAAGTGAGAATTTATTAGAAAGAATAGGGTGACTGGATGATAAAAGGTAAGTTTGGTGGTATAAATGAAATATTAAAACTTACTACGGTGGTAGAAAAAAGAAACACGTGTCCATAGTTGCAAGAAGATTAAGGAGAAAGAGTCCACGAATGTGAGGAATATATATATATATATATATATATATATATATATATATATATATATATATATATATATATATATTCCTACTCAAGTGCCAAATGTTCCACTATGCTTAATTTTTCACAGGAACAGACACAGGGCGAAAGCGGGCTCGAAAAATAAGAGTGACCTCCAGAAATTGCAAACTGTAGCAAGTGTGAACGGATGGGTCATTGGAAGAGACAATGCATGTACCCCAATATGAATAGGGACGTAGAAAGGAAACACCTATACTTGAAATGGAAGCGTTAGAGACCATAGTAGGAGAGAATGAAATGGGTTGTGTGCTTGTGATGTTGGCGGAAACAGCAAGTGCTACTTTGAGCTTATCGACATCTTAGCTTTGTTAGGAAAAGCTACTTGTTTTTTCCCCTTTGACTTGAGAGCTGGACATTGACAGATATCTCTAGACTAACCTGATAAGGAAAAGACTTCGCATGCCATATCGGACTTTATCATTTTAGGGTAATGCGCTCTAGTCTGGCCGGAACCCACGGAATCTGCCAACGACTAATGTCAATAGTATTAAGCAGGTTGAGTGAGTTTGCGATGATATATATTGATGATATATTAGAGTTTAAAAACACAGAACATTACCGTTATCTACAGAGTGATCAGTCGATTATGAAAGCATGGCTTAAAGCTGAAGTTGCCAAAGTGTCAGTTTCTTAAGAGTGAGACTAAGCATCTAGGCTTCGTTATCAGTAATAACTGAGTGAAATCAAATACAGATAAAGTCGAT